TTGGTCCTATATTGGGGCCGAGGGAGAGCGGGACGCTCGCCTCGGCGGGGGCAGTATAGGGCTGAGGGGGTAGGGGGAGGGAGGGGTGTTTTTTCTTTCGAAGATTTCTGATCTTCCAGCCCAGCAATTCTCTCTGAGGCACGAACATATACAGACTGTATTGGATGTGCACTATGACATCTCTACACATCATTGTATAGGGAAGCTGGACCATATCTCCAGCCCACACACATCACATCATCGTTAGGGTTTTGTGTCTCGGTTTGATCGATAGGATTGGGCTGCATGGATAGGGTTCTCCCTTCATGCAACATATATTGATTGGCAAACATATACAGAGTACTGGATGCACAGTATGACATATTCACACATCACTGTACAAGGGCGTTGGATCAGATTTCCAACTGATACACATCACATCATTGTACAGGGACGCTGGACCCGATTCCCGGCAGGTGCAGCTCCCCACCAATATATGGAGCCTTCGACGCCAGGGCCTACTTATCGGGTTTGCTCTTATCACCTCGTTAAACCACCAGTTGACTGCCTCGCACTGTTCATTGTGTGCAGTGAACTGCGAACGGGCCTGGGCCGTTCGGCAGAGGACCGGTGCAGGCTTGGCAGTCTCAAACTGTTGGGCCGTTCGTTTTGAGACGGCGGCCTACCGGGTTCAAAGGTGGGGCGGCCACCGAAGTGAAAACACAGGCCGGTTCAATTCGGTCCCAACCGGCCATTCCGACCTCGGGCAGACCTCGTCCAACTAGCACAGCCAATCTGACAACACACACACACAACAGGAAAAAAAGGAAAAGAAAAAAAAAAAGGTCACAAAATCCGAAGAAACGGCAGTGAATCTTCCGTTATAACACGGAAAGATGCACTGCATAATTTTTAAGCTTTGTGCATGTTGACAGTAGTGGAGCGCGGCCCTTAGGGCATACACTACTACGTTTTTGCGTATTTTTGGAGGGAACTGTGGCCAGATACATCCAGGTATGGCGTGAGTGCGGTCAGATACATTTGAGATACTGCTAGTGTTAGTACGCCCTTAGGGCACACTCACACTACCACGTATTTTCGCGAAATCACAAATTTTATGTAGTTTTTCAGGTCACAAGAGGCACGTATTTTGCGTGTTCACACAAAAGGGCACGTAAATGTCAGCGGCTTGGACAGCCGCGGGCTTACATATTTTGCGGGGACCTCCACAGGTCCCCGCAAAATCATATTTGTTTTTGGGATTATTTCAAAAATATTGCTGTTTCGAAGTTTGGCAGAAAAAATGTCGTCCGTTCGAAGCTTCCTTTGCAAAAATAGAGGGTTCGTTGCAGCTTTATCGGGTTCCCGTAGTTTGCCAGCAAAAATACCACATTTTGCCAAGTTTCACAGCAAAGGACCCCTAGGCTCCTGGCAAAAACGCGTTTGATTTGTATGTTCGCGTTCAGAGGG